CTTTCGCTTCGATTTTCACGTTACACCTGATCCTGCATCTTGATTGGTCAATCAGGGGTAGCGATGCATCGCACTGGTGATGAATGACAACTCTCTTTAATTTATATTATTTAATTTATATTATTTTATTTATATAAATAGTTCAATATATTATTATTGAATTATTAGGAGTGAAGCAAGTTTACTTGCCTCTGCTTTTAGAAAAGTAACTTACGCAAGAAAACCAGATTTCTGGTTTCTCGTGGAAGTTGCTGGAACTATGCAGGAAATTTTATTTGAAGCAACTTCTGGTGACCCTTTTGTAAATGATACTGATAAATTTCAAATTGATCGATACAAACTTTTCTGATTTGGGCACTACTCTAAAATAATGATGAAAACGCTAAATATTTACCGGTAGTCGATTATAATAAATTACAAAGACGGTTATGTAACTTAAATTTATTTCTTATACAAGCATATAGTAAGTTTAAATTTAATAAAATGATAGCTAATATGGCTTCGTAGAAATTAATTAAATCTCTAATTTATTTCATGTCAAAAGGTACAAAACTTAGAGTTTTCATTATGGATCAGCCAGGGTATCCGTTATGCAGAGTTCGTGAGGTCTACGATCTCAAAATTCCTTACAGACCAGTGGATGAGGAATCTGTACTTCAATTCATTTACAGCTTATGGATGACGAGACTGGGGTTAGAAGAATCAATAAAAGAGATAGATGAAATTGGAAGAGAAATTCAAGTTTTTGAGATCTGTGCCAACTCCATTCATAAAAATGATTTTGAGATTAAACTTTCGACTAATTATTAAGATATTTATTTACTGGTTGATTTCCGGCTTCCTTTTCATGCTGCGTGAATTAAGTTTTTTTGTTTTTTTACCTTCAACTAAATATTAAGCTCAACTAGTAAAAATTAGATTCAAGAAGTAAAGCTCAACTGGTAACGTTCTCTTTCACAGATAAATTTTTACCAACATGTCCGGATAGAAAAATATTTGATAACTAAGCAACTAGGAATTAGGATCACGATTTACAAGGAATTTGTTCCATATTGAACTTAGCCCAACTTCTCGCGTTGAGCTCTACAAACATTTAAACATTTTTATAAGATTATTTGTTTAAATTTTAAATATAAATTTAAATTAATAATTTTAATATATTTTTAATTAAACAATTATGAAAGAGTGACACTATGATCATATGGGGTGCTTCAAAAGGAACGTTATTTTGGGATAATGCGGTAATAGTTTCTTGGTAACTACCTAATAAATTTATTCTATATAAAACTTTTGCGTTTGTTTGTGAAGAACATTTGATATCATAAAATCTTTCAGTTCTTTCGCCAAATATTAATCTAGTGAAAAAAA